CTCCTCCTCCTCCTCCTCCTCCTCCTCCTCCTCCTCCCTCCTCCTCATACTCCTCCACCTCCTCCTCCTCCTCCTCCTCCTCCTCCTCCACCCTCTCCTCCTCTTCCTCCTCCTTCTTCTCCTCTCCTCTCCTCTCCTCCTCCTCCTCCTCCTCCTCCTCCTCCTCAGGCGCCGCTTGGACCAATGGCGGCCTTGCATACGCGCCTACTGTACCTCTCTTGCGCTGTCACTGTTGCGCACATCTTTTTTCCCTTTCCCTGGAGTCTCCTCCGCATGTCATCCTCTCGACCTCTTAATTTTGTAGCGTACAATGTGTGTTCACTGATACAACCAGGAAGGTGCCAGGACGTATCACGAGAGTTCAGTACAAAGGACGTTGTGTTTGTGACGGGGACCCGACTACGGAAACGCATGCACGACACACCCTGTATTAACGTGCCAGATGAGAAGGCCCACATACTGTCATGGGGATATGCACGGACACCGTTCAGTAGTGTGCATGCGGGCGTGCAAATACGGTTGAGAAAAGACATGTTTCGTACTCAACATATTGTGGAAATTATTTCCCCACCACCCACCTTACAGGGGAGGGTGGGCGCTGTGATTGTGAGAAGTGGACGGTTTCATTTGCTATGTTGTGCCATGTACTTGCCACCACGGCCGTCGGTACGACGGAACGAGGCTGCATACCAGAGATGCGTGCGGGAAATATTGGGGTGGGTTGACAGTGTCTGTGCTCGACAGCCCGCGCGTGTGTCCATTGTACTAGGCGGTGACTTCAACGACCATGCGGGCATACAGCGAGAGGGAGGCACCCCAGTAGATCCTGCCTTGGATCCTGTGGGCCCGCTGGCGCCGCGCCAGGAGCACTTTGCAATGAAGCAAATTCGTGAGCTCCTGGGGAAATATGGGCTGTGTCTTCTAAACACGTTTGTAGGAGGCCACGACACATACTACGGACACCGAGGCAGCACGCGTATTGACTACATTGCGGCACCGCGAAGCTGGCTTCGCTCGATCTCCCACTCACGTATCCTTGAACGGAAGGGTCGGAAGCTACAGATGGTGAATACCGCCCGACGGTGGGACCACTGGCCGCTGCAAGTGCAGGTGTGGTATATACTGGACTTCCCAACGGTTTCATCCAAAAAAGAACACAGATGGGATCTGGATAGGCTCACACAAGGATTGATGGTGGGAAAAGATCGGGGACTGTTTCTTCGGGAGGTGGAGCGTGCATGTATGAACGACCAGAGTACATGGATGCAGCACGAGCACAATGACTGTCCTGATCATGCATGGGGGTCTCTGGTCAAGTGTGTGCAGGAGGTGGCTCATAAGTACTATGCACAGCGCACGCGCGATGATGTGACGGTA